CGAGACGGCCTGTGCCGCCGGCTGACCCATCGCTGCGGAGCGCCTGCCCCGACGGGCGCGACACTGTCCTCCGGTCCTGTGGCCGGGAGGGGTGGCTCGGTGTCTCCTCTAGTCTTGCTGGTTTCAAGATTAGAAAGTGGCCGTGTGCTCTGATGTGTTGAGACGACGGTAATAAAGTGACTTTGGGCAGAAGGCGGCTGTTGTGAAATTCATGGCGCAGGCGCGTGCGGGGGGCCCGACTCAGAACAAAACCGTTTTCACTGATTTCACGTCCCGTGTTCCTGTCGGTCCCCACGTGCCCCCCTCTCCCCTCCCGGGTGACCCTTCTGAGCTGCAGCCAGGGCCATGGCCCCTGTGGGTGCCCACGGGCCTCTGTCCCCAGATCAAAGACGCAAGGATGACGGGCGAGGTGCCTGGTTTAGTTCCCCGGACCCTGGCGCCTCGCGGAAGGCAGGGCTCAGCTCCCACGGGCACAGCCCAGTGGCCAACACATCCCACCCCCGACCTGGAGCCCCACAGCCACCCCGACGCGAATGCACTTTCATTAGCAAAAGCCCATCTCACGTCTCGCCAGCCGGGGGAGGTCCAAGTTCAGGTTCTGAACGACGGTTCCCACTGAGCACGTGTGGCTTTCACACCACCGACAAGTCAGAAACCCTCCGCTGAGACATCGCAGGTCAGGGCACAGGTTACACTCCGCGGTGCGGGGGGCCGGGCGCCAGCTCCCCTCATTTCTACCTGCTTGTTTATTTTTAATGCGGCTCATTTTAAATAGTGACCAGGCACGTGTGTGCTCTTTGTGGATGGATTAAGCTCGGCTCACGCTGTGGGGCCTGGAGCCCCCCTTGCCTCCAGGGAGCGGTGACCCGTGTGAGGGGGTCTGTCCGCTCCCCACGAAAGGCCAAGTGGGGGGACCGACGTCAGGAGAGGCGGTGGGTGGGCGGCCAAGAGGGGCGGGGAGGGGGAGAGGGGTGCGCAGGAGCTGTGGGTTGGGGGTCAGGAAGTTTAATTTTGTGAGAAAACCAGTCTGGTGTCTGGTCAGGAGTCGCCCGGGGAGGGGCCGGCTCCCCAGGGACGGGGTCTGGGTGCAGCTGCGTCCCGGCCCCGGGACAGCACACAG